GATATGTTCATTTCGTTTGAGAGCTTGCAGTGTCGTACAATATTTTTTATTCCCGCTCCAAAAAATTCAGAGCCGAGCAAATACGAAGTCAAATGGTACCAATTGTAGATCTTTTGTGTTGAAAAAGTTTAACCTAGTTCAGTCTATGTTGTAGGGCTAGTGGTAGAAGACATTTATTTTAAAGTATCGGGTTATTCACTTTGCTTAAGTTATCTGTCAGATAAATAAAGTTTCATCACTAAATAACTCAAACCAAGGATATACATATATATAAATAATAATATATGTATGTACATATATATATATGTATGTATGTACATGACAGCTTAAAAGTGTAGATACGACTGTAAGTACATTTGTATGTATGCGTGTATACATCTCAATCTTCACGTATGTATGTACGTACATACATACATATGTATACATATAACAAAGTGAGTTAAGACCAGCTTACGTTTACATCAGCTCCCAATTTTACTAAGAACTGGAGTACATTCAGCTGGCCGAAATCAGCCGCGTAATGTATCGGATATCTTCCTTTGATCTCTGTATTAACTTTCTGAGTCTGCAAATAATATTAATTAGCCGAAAAAAAAACTAGTCATGTATTATTACTCACATCATTGCTAAACGCTGTTTGGACGGCATCTAGTTCCCCATTTTTTATGGTCCAGATTATATTCTCAGCTGATTCGTCGCTCATTTTATGTGTATAGTTTAAAAATTATTAACTGCAGACAATTAAAACTGAATAATAATATTCAACATTCTATTTCAAGGGTTGCCTTCGGTTTTATCGAGCCGCTTACTCATTTATATCAACCTTTCAGTGATGTGTATTCATATTCATACGGTACTTAGCCGATAGTTGTTGGTACGTCACTAAATATATGCAATTCACCCCGAAGCAGAACACAAAATCTACAGAGATATTCAAATTTAATAACAAAACTGTGAATTTCTTTTTCATTGATTCAATAAATATGTTTATTTCGAATAGTCTAATTCGTATTTTCCGAAGCTTAAAGAAATAAATATATGTGGCCATATAATGTATTTATTTGAGTTACGTTAAGTGACAACGTGGGCAGTTCTCCAATAATTGCAATAAAATACACTTCTCAGAATATGTTGTAGAGTTTTTTAAATTCTAGAAACGGGATACTCACAATTATTTTCTTTTCTTACAGAAAAAAGTATAAATCAGTAAAATAACTGTGTTAGAAAGAGACTGGTGGAATAAAGTGTAAGAACGTCGTTCAATAGACAAACCAGAAGAGTTGATTTGAAACTCAGTTTAGCAAATTGCTAAAAGCGATCACCAGTTATTGTAACTAAACTTGAAATTACGACTTTAACAAGTCTAAATACCGCGTTTACTTTATAGACATTTCCTATGAAGTTGCAGTTACCTAAACATTTTTATGAACCTTTTTAGGCATGTCTTAAGTGCAACCAATTTAGAATACATGCATAAATTCATATGTATGTACATATATACATACATATGTACATACATAGATAAATTCTCAATGTATTCGAATGTACAATTTAACGTCCAAAACGCGTCATTGCTTTGCTGATACTGTCTGATTATGCCTTTTACGCCCAAAGACTGATAAGATTAGATAACAGTTAACAGGGAATAAGCCTCGAAAAGAAACCTTTACTTATTAGTTAGTTTTTTCTCGGTGCCCACAGAATTTAGCAAATAAACGGAGTCAAGAATACAATTTAGAATGAATATAGCTGGAGCTACCGTTTTTATCTTAACAACGATCTGTGCGCTAATGCCATTAGGAATCACAGACTCGGCTGTTAAAAGTGAAGAAACAAAAAAAGTGGTGAGTGCTATCAAAAACACATACATACGAATATATGTACATAATATATATACATACATACATATGTCTCTAAGACGATCCGCATAAGCATACATACATATGTTTTTAAATTGAATGGACATAAATTAAGCAAACATACATATGGTATGTATGTGTATACGAATTTTATTCAGCTAATAACTATTTCCCAAGAATGACTCATAGCACGAATCAACTGAATCATTTATTTGGGTTACTATGAAAAAACAATGAAAAACTTTGGAATCGCATGTTATCTTTTAGCTTCTGTTCGTCCGTTTGTGCTCGAGTTCGATTTGTAGGACCACTAACCAGAGAACACATAGACCGGACACGTAGTGTAAAGTATTTTGCACAC